AAAAAATATTTTATAATAAACCCAGTATTTAAAAAATAACAACATTTCAAACCAGAAATTTATTTTCCACTGAACCATGGAGGTTTGGACTTTAATTTGCTTTTACGTGTATTTAGAGTGCCTTCCTGTGTGCATGTGCACTGACATTTATGGTGGTACGCCACGATGGCCGCAGGTGGCCTTATATCCCCTGTGGGAAATAAAGTTACAGACAGCTGCGGGCCATCATGCAGGAGCTGGGAACTGAACCTGGGTTCTAGGTGAGAGTTCTTAACAGAAAGCTGGCCATGTCATTAGGCTCAAGTGGAGTTTTTAAGCAAAACAGAGCCTTCACCATCTTCTGGTGGCATTATACAGATAAATCTTATCACCAAATTAATTTGTAGGCTTCCTCTGAAAAGACCTTATTTTGCTTGTTCTTTTGTAGGTCCTACATTATATAATATGAAGCTGAGCATATAAAACCTAGATGATAGATACTTATTACACATACAGTGAAAAACAAATATAGAGACCTTGACTTTCTGGCTGTATGGAATGTGTGTGTGTGTGTGTGTGTGTGTGTGTGTGTCTGTGTGTGTCTGTGTGTGTGTGAATATGAAGTTTTTGAGAATACAATAGGAGGTATGGATATTTTTCCTTCCCAACACAGTATTTTAGGGACTGGTTTACCCAAACTTCAACTCCTACCTTTCATGTTTGCTAGTCCTCATTGTCCTACATTGCTTGCTTTCTTTCAATATGTCACTAGTAACATCAAAATACTGGACAAAGTGACACACTAGAGGTGGAGAGTAAGAAAGCGGAGTTCCAGGTACCAGTGAGTTTGGGAGACTCATTCACCAGGGAAGCAGGCGCCACACAGCAGCTTTCAGTATGGATTTATAAGAGTCTCATGGAAAAGCAGCTTAAATCACTTCTGTGTTGAGTCTGCGTGTGACTGTTAAACAACCGTAATTTGAATATTAAATCTGTTGACTGTTAGAATTGTTACAAATTAATAAGAACTCGTGGTTTATTAATTAGTCTGGGACATAGAAAAAGCAGAGAAAGTAACATTTCACAATGTTAGGGAAGCAGACAAGAGAAGGAACAAATAATAAAACAATCATCACTGGTGCCTTCAGTGTCGGACAACATCCAGTTTTCAGGAGACTCAGGTCCTGCCCCAACCCGAAATTCCAGTTTTCTCAAAGCTGATCAGAGGAGAAGGCTCCTTACCCTGCTTGTTCCTGTCATGACATGTTTCTTACATACAGATTTATGCATTGAAAACAATGAGAAAATTTGTTGAGACTAGCATACAGATGGGAGGCAGTGGGTCTTCTGTGACACTGGAGAGCAGACTTGGAGCTTCTGTGGCCACATTTCCTACCACTTGGAAAGAGAAGAACAGAGCCCTGGTCCCAGAGAGGACAAAGTTTGTGACTGAGCCTCCGTATTTGGCTATGTGTGGAAGACTTTCTCTGCCTTTCCGTGTGCCAAAATGCTCAACTATAGCATAGGTAAGCTTATGTTGGGTGTTGGTACTTAGAAATGGAGAGGTTTTGCTCTAAATGTGGGCGAGTCAGCTATAATTCAATCTTTGAGGGAGATTTTTGAAGCAATTTCCAAATGTTTTGAGTCACAGAACACTAGATGTACTAAGATACGTCTTTTCTTATTCTTTTCACAGTGAAAGCCCTAGAGCCTATCATTGTGATATACAGTCACTTGAGTCAGCTTCTTACCAGCTTGTTTTCCTCTGCTCACAATGAATCCACCCTCCCCTGTTATCTCGTGTATTACCTGTCAGTTTGGAAGATGGACAGATCGTATCTTCCCTACCTTCCTCTAGACAGAATTTATAGCTGATAATTCATTTTGTGCTGGATATTCATACATACATTCATAAGTATTCTCAGTTGCAAGCTGCTATTCATCCAACACAAGTAGAATACATTTTTGTTTTGTAGTATTAATAGTTATTCTGGTTAGCTTCTGTTGCCAACTTGACACAAATTCAAGTCACCTGGGAAAAGGGAACCATAGTTAAGAAACTGCCTCAATGAGATTGGCCTGTGGAGATGTCTGTAAGAGATGATGTTGACAGGTCCAGCCCACGGTGGGCAGCACCATTCCTAGACAGGTGGATCTGGACTGCACAAGTGAGGTAGCTGAGCACAAGTCAGTGACTGAGCCGTCAAACCACGCTTTTCTCCACGCTTTCTTCTTTAGTTTTTCCTTTAGTTCCTACCTTGGAAGTGTAACTCAAATAAATCCTTTTCTCACCAAGTTGCTTTTGGTCAGAGCATTTTATCACAGGGGCACAAATGTCACTAGAACACCAGTTTAATTGTCTTTGGCATGGAGGTGTAAAGGCACTGTGAATGTCCTAATTGATTTCGTGAGTGACCGAAATTTTCATGGCTATGAAGCTTTACAGTAAGTGTATAACTACTGATATTTTATTATGTGTGATGTTGAAATTATTTATTGGGATGGGAATGTTGGGATGAGAATACTGGGTTTCTTTATGCATATCATTGAGCTTTGCTTATGTTCATCTTTTTTTGACTCCCATCTCTGTCTCTTTCTTTGTCTCACATATATTTCTCCTTCTACTTTGATGCTATATGAGAGAGAGAGAGAGACAGTCAGACAGACAGACAGAGAGTATATTCTACAGCTAAGAGAAAACATGTTTGTTTTTCTTGTGGCTAATTCACTTAGCTTGATGATTTCTAGTTATCAACAAGAGTTCTTTAACATTTTCTTATAAACATTTTTCCTTATAAAAATTAAAGGTGTAGTCATAGTGACTGATCTCTTTAATCAAAGACCTATAGAGTACGACAAAATTACTTTTATCAGAAGAAACTACAAATATGATATATACATATGTTGCAACCAAGGAAAATAGAACATAAAGCTTGTAATTTTTCCTGAATATTCTCTCTTTTTAAAGAACTTATTATTGTTAATATTTTTATTGAGAAAAGATATATCAAATCAATATTGTTTTTTGTCCTGAGTCCTGATGTGCTGGCCACATGACATAGAATTGTATTTCTCCACCCTCTAACAATAACTTACATGGTAGAGGCCGTTCTTTATTGAAAGTAGTCTCTTGGATTTGCTCACAGTTTGGCTATGAAGGGAGCATAAATCTCTTCATAGTCACATGTAAAGATGCACCCTCTGCTGGATCTTGAGACATCTCAAGTGACAGAAATGGTAGCTTGAACACATGATCAGTGGTACATTGATGGCGTGTGTGTGTGTGTGTGTGTGTGTGTGTGTGTGTGTGTGTGTGTGTAGCAGGGGGGTACCCATTGTGTGCATGTGTATAAGAATATAGAGAGGCAAGAGGGCAATTTATTGTTTCTTGCCTCAGGTGCCACCCATCGTCTTAAAAAGAGTCTTTCATTGGCCTGGAACCTACCATGGAGGCTGGGCTAGCAGGCCTGGAGCTTGAAAGATCCAATGCATACTGCAGACAACCCTTCACACTTCCTGTTTAGGTGTGACATTTGTGGCACCACACACCTCTCATTTGCTGTGACTGATGGTCAGTCCTGTGCACACAGAGAGGGAGCATCTCGTGCTTTGCAGCTGAGAAGTTCAGTAGGCATTGTCTCAAAGATGTCAAGTGACAAACCTATTAGGGTCTCTTAATTGCCACTCATAGAAACTAATTCTAGATTACAAGAAGAAGGAAAATTCAGTGGCTCATATTATTATAAGGTTCAAAGGATAAATGAATTCATGTATAGCAATACAGGAACAAGGTAATGTCCTTATTGCTTTTCTTATCTCAGTTGTTTTTCCTATGTTGACATACAATATAAAAAGGAGACTTGAGAGCAGTGTCATCTGTTCTTTTATGCTCTCATAATTTCAAATATAAAAAAATGCACTAACCATGCATGGAGAAGACCCAGATCCTCTGCTCAGATGTAGCCCATGGCAGCTTAGTTTCCATGTGTTTCCCCGAGCAAGGGGAGCAGGGGCTGTCTCTGACATGAACTCAGTTGCCTGCTCTTTGATCACTTCCCCCAAGCAGGGCAGCCTTGCCAGGCCACAGAGGAAGAGGACCCAGGCAGTCTTGCTGAGACTTGATAGGCTAGGGTCAGAAGGCAGGGGAGGAGAACTCCCCCTTTCAGTGAACTGGGGGAGGGGGAGAGGGGAACGTAAGGGAAAGAGAAGGTGAGCTGGGAAGAGATGAGGGAGGGGGCTACAATCGAGATATAAAGTGAATAGATTATAAAAGATTAAAAAATAAAATAAAATAATTACTTATCAAAATAAAAAAAGAAAATGTATTTTCTTGACTATTTGAGCCCAATGTCCTCTGGAGAGGATATTGCGGGATGATTGTTTCTGGCAGAAATATGTGGTGCTATCACGCTTCCACAGGACAGTGTATGTGGGTTAGGCTGAATGATGTGGCACATCTATGTGAAGAAGCTGGGTGAAGTGACTGACGGGTCTGTGAGGTTGGGTGAGACCTCTGTCTATGAAAATAAAAGAAATATAGGGGCAGGTTGGGATGAACCTGCACGGTAGGAGTGGTTATGATGATTTTTTGACAGATGCCATGCAAAACATCTTGCAAACTGTGTGCTCCATTAGTTACTGGTTGTGCCTTGTCTCTGAAGCAGAGATGTGGGCCACCTAGCTAAAAAGAAAGGGAGGAAGAAGATCAAAGAAGAGCCTAACGTCAGGTGTGAAGACGCACATCCAGCACCTTGGAGGCTCATGCTGGAGGGTCAAGGGTTACAGGTCACCATGAGCTACATAGGGAAAGTGTGTGTGTGTGTGTGTGTGTGTGTGTGTGTGTGTGTGTGTGTGGCAGAGAGAGAGAGAGAGAGACAGACAGACAGAGACAGACAAGGAGACAGCGCACCTTTCCAACCTCTGCATTTACCAGCTGGCCAATGCTGTTTCTCATCTCTGGCACCGTTGAAACTTTTCCAAGCTGGAGCCCTCTTCTGTTTACGTTTCTTTCTGCCTTCTAGGTGGACAAGAAGATAGTAAGAACGGAAATAGGAGTGCTGCTGCGCCTCTCGCACCCGAACATCGTAAGTCGCTTTTAGCTTACTGTTTCAAAGCCTCTCCAAACACTGTAGAATGGGATCACTGTCCTCCGCTCTTCATCTCCGAGGCAGCATGGCCAAGTCCGAGGCCTTACTCCACCAACTGCAGTAGGTTTCAGAATAGGCAGATGAACGATACATACCACGCCTCTTCTCGTGCCTAAAAGGAGAGAAATGGAGAATTTTGTTTTGCTCAAATGAAACACTGGCTTTCTCCCTCTTTTGTTTGCCTGTCTTTTTAATATGTCATTGCTGAAAAGGCCTGTGAAGCAAAAGGCATTGCTTTCCAAAGTCATTACAGCCGTTGGGAGATATCTGCTTCAGAAATAATGCAAAGATGCAAATGAATGATGTACGTGAATGGGAGAACTAAACGGTTTCCAGAAGCTCTGCTGTAGTCTGGGACCAGATGATGCCTGTGAGGAAAAAAAAAATGTCTAGTGAAAAGCTGTTTAGAATCAATGAGGTGAAAAAGAACAAAATCATTTTCACAGCAGCAACTTGGTTTTATAAATTAAGCTATCTACCTAATTTTTTTTTTTTAAAAAAAACCTATTTGTGTCTGGGGTGATGACCTGCAATGCTCTAAGCAAGTGTACACAGCTTCGTGTATTCATTAAAGGTGCAGCAGCCTTACCAGGCCACAGAAGAGGACAATGCAGCCACTTTTGATGAGAACTGATAGACTAAGATCAGAAAGGAGAGGAGAACCTCCCCTATCAGTGGTCTTGGGGAGGGGCGTGCATGCAGGAGGGGAGGGAGGGTGGGATCGGGAGGGAGGAGGGAGGGGCTTATGGGGGGATACAAAATGAATAAAGTGTAATTAATAAAAAATAAAAAAAGTTAAAAAAATAAAACAAAATAAAGGTGCTCTTGGGTACATACCAGCAAATGTTTTTCTTATAATAAATAGGAAGATGGACTGTCACCCTGATTCAGCAATCTTGGGTTGCCACCAAAGACCACACACCTCTGTGTCTGCCATTTTCCCATCCTTGGTGTGTTGACTTTTCACCCTGTGCTTTATCTTCGTGGCCCTATAGTGACAGCTTCACATTTCTCTAAATCGCCAGATTGATGATAATCAAGGAAGAACTTGGAAGGGCCTTGTCAGCAGAGTTAGATGAGAAAAGATTCTCAGAAACTACCGCGGCAGAGTTCTCTTGAAAATTTGCTGGCCAGAGGTAGCTAAAAATGCTCCCTAACGACATCCAGGCCTGTCGACTAGAGAACAGGGTTGTCATAAGTGGCTTAGACTGAGACCGTTATCATCCACAGTGAGGCACCAGGTGCCTTACTTCTCAGAACTAAAGCAGAGTTCTGTCTGTGTGGGGATGGGGACGCTGTGGGTAAGTAGTATTCAAGCCTTTCAGACTAGTTAGCACTTTCATGCTATCCGTGCCTCTTCTTTCCAAGGAAGTCAGTGTGGAACATTCCACACACGTAGAGCAGGGCTGGCCTCTCCAGTCTCTGAGGTCTGGAGAAATGCTTACATTTGATTGGGTTATCTGAATGTGATGGAACCCTGGTGCATTCAGTTAATTCTCTACCACCATCCTTGCTAAGGACCCTTCACAAACGAGTGACTCTTTAACGGCTGACACGCACTTTTCCAACAGACTTTACTCAACCTGTCCTGCCTCACACCCTAATTCCAAATTCATTGCTTTCAAGACAAAACATTGCTCATCTCTAGCAACCATGATGGTTTCAAACAGTTTTTGCAAAGTTGGGTCTTGTATTTGATTCTAGGGAAAAGAAAGAAGGAAGAAAGGAAGGAGGAAGGAAGGAAGAAAGGAAGATTGCAACATTTGAGTAAATTTTAGGAAGTGTTTTTAAGGGAGTCATTTCAAAATAAAAAATGTCAGAAATCAATGGGATTTTTGAAAAAACTGAGGTGTCTGACAAAAATCAACAATTGTAAAGGAGAAGGCCAGCTGTCTGCCTAATGCTAAAATGAGGGACTTCCCCTGACTTGACCCAACCATTGGTAATGCAGACTATTGTTTTGTCCATAATTTTAGACATTTTCAAGGAAGATGGAAATGAGAAATTGTTGATGTTCTTTCTTAATGTATATCTTTCCCCCAGATAAAACTTAAGGAAATATTTGAAACCCCCGCAGAAATCAGTCTGGTCCTTGAGCTCGTCACGGGAGGAGAACTGTTTGACAGGTGAGTTGGACCTAGAGGGCAAAACAACAGAAACATCTGTTCTGTAGCCTCCCCAAAAATAATGGAAAGAATAAATTCCTAAGATTTTTCATAATAAAAGGATTGTGTGAATTGATATATTTTTTTGAAATAAATCTTGAGAAGATTGTTGAAGAGACATAGGTAGTAATTGGTAAGATAAATAGGTAGTTAAAAAAGAAAAACACTATGTCTATTTCCCTTCACAAACATTTATGTTCAAATAAGTAGAGTATTATAGAATCACATTATATTTTAACTAAATAGTAGTATTTATGAGATTAATGTAATGAGAAAATACTTAAATTGTGTTCTCTGTTATGATCCAAAACCTTCACAAAAGTCAGTGTTTTTCAAATGATTATCTTTAACCTCTTCTCTCCAGTATAGGAGTCTATGTAAAAAGTTCCATGTTGCAGAGCAAAGCATGGCTTGTTTTGGCCTGTTGTTGCCCCTTTGAGGGGTCTTCTCATAGGTTATCGCTCAGAGAATGGGAGAAGAGAGAACACCCCCAAAACTGGACGAACTAGGGTCAAGCCAGCTTTAGGCTTCCATAGTTGTGTCTCCTCCCTGCCTATTCAGGAGAGTATGGACAGGCTCTGGGGACCCTCTGCCACATTCATCAGGGTCATCAGCAAAGAATGAAAGTGAAGATAGCCATATGAAGTAGTTATACAGTAGAAATGGTGAGAAGCTGATGTAATAGTCCTGGTAATAATGATGTGAGAGAGAACTGGATAAGGGAAATCAGGAGACCGAGTGCAGGGGTACTGTCAAAAGCTCCACGAGTGTTCTCTGAATGAGCAAGCAGCTGTAACAATGAATGGACCCTGGAAAGAAAGGTAGCTAAAGGGGACCGGCTTTGATTGTTGGAAGAGGAACACTACTTTTCAACTTCTACAATAGTCTTGACGGTTTGTATTGCTCTCAGATTCGCATATTGAAGCCTTAACTCCCAAGATGGCCGTGAAGAGTTGGCTGCTCTGTAAGGGAGACACAGGTTATTCAGGGAGCCTGTAGGAGAGGAATTAGAGGCCTTATGAAAGAAGTACAAGTGAGCCCTCACTCCTTCCTCCACGCGAGGGCAACAGTGAAAGGGCTCTGTCTATGATAAAGCCAGCCCTTAGAAACAACTGGCATCTTTCTAGAACTATGAAAAATAAATGTCTATTGTATATTATGTATATTATAAGGCTTTGGTCAATCCCTTTGCAGCAGCCCACATAAACCAAGACAAACAAGTAGACTTTAAAACTGTGAGATTTTGACTATTTTAAGAATAAGAAAGAAGGATGTGAACAGGCATGAGTAATGCCCTATGTGCTGGCGGCAGCGGTTTCTTGATTGTCTCACAGTTCTGAAGCCTCCCTCTACCACTGAAAGGTAAGGTAATCTAGAGTAATGTTCTCCCTTGAGTTTTGGAACAAATTCGAAATTGTTCTGTGCTGCCAAGAAATCTTAGGTACACCAAACCCACCACAAGGAAGGACTACATCTTCTAAAGTCATCTTGTTCTCATGTGCTTACACAAGACTTCTTGGGGGAATAGCCAGTATTTATTGACAATGGCTCCTTTAAAACACCACTTTAACTGAACATTTTTATGATTACACCCTTTGTCTAGGTGCAGTAATGTAGTAAGATTCTGCTGTCTGTGGAGTCATGAGAGCTCTCTGAGGAGACCTTGCATATTTCTCTGCTAATTATGGTCTATTAGATGGAAATCTCACATTCCTTAATTATAAAAAGTTGCAGATAAGCCTCCTACTTGAAAACTATCACTCACCAACGGTACTTAGGATTTACCTACCACCTCATCAAGAGTCTCTTATTCCCTTCTTATGAAGCTTCTATGAGGAAAGTTGGGAAGAAATCTGTTTCAGCTCTAGAAAAAAAGTAAGAACCAAAATGTTGTTGTTAAATTTAATTTGTGGAAATAAATGAAGTATTTACATTTCATAGAAGACTGACAGAGATCCAATAAAGTATTCACTATAGTGAAAGCCCTGAGTGACTTTAAAAGATAGACTTTTCCCTCTGAATAGTGTTCACATTATTGGTGTAGATGACCTGACTAGGCCTCTCCAATATGCTGTTTATTTTACTCTTAAATTTTATCAAGTTGAAATAAATTCTGCGTTATTATCCAGTCTATTGACTTTTTCTTGAAAGTTAAAAAATGTTAATGTTGTTTATTTTTGTGCACTTACGTCAAGTTTTAATGTATTGAATTGCAATGATGAGAATTTATCCCTGGTCTAGTGATGGCTGTAACAGTAGCTAATGAATTAACTCAGAGCAGTTCATGTGGGGATAATCACATTGGTCCATTAGAGTCAGGGTGGTTGTGTTTTATTAGTAAAGAGCTGTTCTGTGGTGCTTATGAAAAATTAAACAGCCAAATCCAGGTAGAATCTGCTTGAATTTAAATACATCCAAGTCAGATTGGATTTAAATAAAAACACACACAGGATAAATGATCTAGGATTTTGAAATAAAATCAGTGTTTTTTTTTTTTCTGTCGTAGAAAAGTCATATCTAGCTTCCTATGTCATACAGTTTATAAAAAAATCTGCCTAATTCTGACATCATGGGGAAAAAAAAGCCCTAGAGTTCAAACCTTCTCAATCTCATCACAGCTCTTAAAACCCTAACATCCCGCTTTTTAAACGTTATACCTGAGCAAACTCTGGAACTTTCAGATAAGTTTTCTTTTTCTTGTTGTTGTTGGTTTTTTTTTCCTCTCAGGAAATGATTGTATTTTACCTCATAGCTCATCCAGCAGTATCCGTAGGCTTTTAATTAAACTTAAAAGTGTCCCCCACCTCTGTCTTATACCTTCAATATCTGTATTCCTTGTAAACTTCTTTGTCCTGGCTCTTCTTCTGTGAGGTTTTGCTTACCAATACCAAACACTGTACGTAGAAATCTTAAAACACAAAACCTTGAATGCTGAGTTTCTTTATTTTAAACATACAACCAAAACAAATTGATATGAACAGGCACTGGGCTGTTAAAAGGTAGGTTCCTGAAGGCCCTTCTGTTTATGCCAGAGATCCAAAGGTTCTTTAAAGGTCTACACTATCAGCCAGGTGATTTTAGAAGGACTTTTCTTCCTTGACACCCTCGCATGATGAATTCTGTCCCTCAGCTCTCGACAGCTTGTCAGACTGTGAGCTGTTTTTTCATCACCAGGAAATTTTGGCTCAGAAGAGGAACAAAGGCACCTGAGGGCAGGCTGGTGTTGCTCTCTTCTCACACCGTGGCTTTTGAATGAAGTCTTTACTTATTTGTTGCCCTTTGGTGTCTTCAAACAGAAGTTTAAATTCTCTTAATTTAACATAATTTTTTAGCATTTCATACATTAATACTCGATTTAAATTATTTCCATCCCTTCTTCTTTGTTTCCCTGGCTTCACTGACTCCCTTTCAGATTCATGACATCTTTTCATTATTATTGTTACACACCCACACACCCATGCACACACACAAACACATGTACCTACTGAGTCCATTTAGTGTTCTCACGTGTACTTTGTTTCAAAGTTCCTTTGTTTGAAAGCTGTCCATTTGAGACCGGATAGCCTCACAGAGGGCTCATCTCTGGATAAAGCTGTTTCTCCACCTCTCAGCCTGTACTTCTTCATCTGTGGGTGAGATCTTGTGAGATTTTCTCCCAAACATGTCGGCATGTCAATGGGTATGATCATTGTGCAGGGCTTTTTTAGGAAGCCATATTGTTGGCCCTCTATAGTTGCAGCCTCCCCTGTCCTGTCTAGAAGAGTTGCTGGCAGCAAGCATCCTGTTCTGCTGGTTCCTATAATCCTGTCACCCCTCTTCTGTACATGTATCTCTTGGGATCATGTTGTTATGAAGAATGAAAATCCCAACCATTAGATTTTACTAGTGAAGACTCAGGAGCCAGATGCTGGGGTGAAAACCTTCTAGCTCAGAAGGCAGAGAAAGCACCCAAATGACCTTCATATTCAGCTCATTCCCCAGAAGGGAAAAAAAAAACAAAAACAAAAAGCCCAAGGCTTGCTAGCTCAGCTGATAGACTAGGAAGAAAAAGCCAAAAGCTATCAGGCCAAGAGCTAGTGAGCTAAAGTGCTAAAGCACTAAAGAGCTCAAAAAGCTAAAGGCCAACGAGCTGAACAGCTAGAGAGCTAAAGCACCCTTCTTCTTTCTCCACGCTGTCTTAAATACCCTTCAACCCTATGTCCTTTCCTAGTCCCTGTCAGTTTGTTTCTTGCTCCATCTATTGACCTAGGGTTAACTTAATTAAATTCTGTGTACAGAAAGGTGTGTGCTAGGGCTGAGCCACACCATAATCACCTGTTTACAATAAACAGAAAGTTCTTAGATTAAAGATGTGTGTTAGGGCTGAACCACACCTAACAAAAGACAGGTTCACAATTTTGGGGTCCACAATGAGATCAAATGTCCTGCAACAGGGTCACTTCTTCTCTCCATTTTGACTAGTCGTGGATCTCTGTAATCATCTCCATCTGCTCCAAAAAGAAGCCTCTTTGATGAGAAGTAAGAACTACCTGTATGTGTAAGGATCAGTATTTAGGTACAGTTTGAAAGTATGTTGGTTTAGGAAAATGGCAGTAGACAGTTCTCCTCTTGGGTCTGTGTCCTCTCTAGACACTGGTATTCAGCTAGGTTTATTTTATTTAGCATGTTTTCATTTTCTTGCCACAAGCCTGCCTAACCACCATTGCTGAACCCAAACATTCCTATGTGGTTCAGAAATTCTTTTACCAGTACTGGTTTTTTGTTTTCCTCTTATAAAAAGGCAACTTTCAGGGGAAATCAGGGTGAAAAGGAGTTACTTTGGTATGTAGACTTGGAAATTTTGAGTTTGTAAAGATATTTTTGGTCAGGAGCCTAAGCTTTAATGGCTGAGCTGTCTTTCCAGAATTACTAAGATAAATGTCTTGAATTCAGCAGCCAGCCTGTCTTTCAGAGAGCTCTTT